GAGAAGTTTCGTCGCCTCATTGGGGCTGGACCCTAGTGTTTTGAAGAAAATTCTTGGCGGAGCCTTCATTTTGACTTAATTTGGATGGTTTGGAATCACGATCCATGTAATTAGATCAGTTAAAAGATATTTTGTTATAATAAGCATTGCATAATGTAAAAAGAGCTACATTATACCTGATTCTCCTCGGAAAAAAGAAATTATGTATCGGAGATATGTAGGCAACCCTCTTTGAGCGCGGTCTAAACATTAATGGAAAAATCATTTCATAATTCATTCTTCTTTGCCAAAAAAAGAAAAAAACAAAAAAAAAGATAAAAACCCGCTAAGTCGAAAACCCGAAAGGGCGGCTTAGGCAAAAGTCGGGGCCCCCTAAGTTGAAAACCCAAAAAGGGTGGCTTAGGCAAAAATGGGTAGCTCGCTAAGTTGAAAACCCAAAAGGGCGGCTTAGGCAAAAATTAGAGCTTGAATAAATAAATTGGAAAAAATGCTTGGAAAAGCTTAAAAGCAAATGACATTCCCCATTGAAGCAATAAAGTCAAACAGGTCTGAAGCCAAAGCAGAAAGCAAAAGAGTTCGCAAATAGTCCGAAGTCAAGCAGAAAGCAAAATAAATAAATAATGAAGTCTAAGTCCAAGTCCGAAAAAAAAAAACAAAAACATACATCCAAAAATCCAAAGTCAAAGTCCCAAAAAAAAAAAGCCAAAATAAGGGAAAAACAAAAAAAGTCCAAAAGCCTATAAGAGTCTAGGTGTCCCGTCGCCTCCGTGGGCAACATCCTCCAAGTCATTCCTAGTCGCTAAACTCTCTCCAACTTCGCCTGTCCGGGGAGCCAACACAATCTCCTCATCAGTCCCAACCTCATCATCAGCCTCAGCCTGAACCCAACCTTCGAGTGCACTCAGCAGTGCGGTCCTCCTTGACCTCTCAATCGGCCAGACAACGGCAATGAACCAGGTCCGTCCGGATACTCAGGAGAATTCTGGACACCGGCAGATTAGGTAAAAGGCCTGACCATGTGATGGTCTCTAACCCAAAGCCCCTAAGGACGGCTCGGAGTAAACACCCGGAGTATGGCTGAATCAGCTGAATGCCATCTACTATTGCGGGACAGTCTGTCTATCCCCATCTGCCTCAAAACGCCGAAGCGCAGTACCAAGTACAGCTGTTTAAGGCCTAAAAGGTAAACCCGATATGCGAGAGCTAACCTGGATAAAAGCGGGTGATGTCATTACCAGGAAATGAACCACCGGTACCTCGTTTGGACCAACTCAATCAGCCATGAAGGTCCCATGCATCAGCAGATGGTTGTGTGATTCAAGCATCCTCCTTGTACGGTACTGGCGGGGCTTAATAGGGCAAGAGAGTAGGAGCAGCAAAACCACTTTGGAGTGTTACCTTTAACCCAAACCTGGAGTAATGATCCTTTCTATTACAAGGAATGAACCAAAAGAAAGAAGAAAAAATAAGGAAAAGGAAAAGGGGAAATACCGGTTAGAGAATAATCGGAGAGACCGTCCAGTGCATCGAAGCCTAAAGCAGCCTCTGTCAAAGGCTCCTGATATCTTTGCCAGGCACAAATGCCGCCGATGCAAAAACCATATCCTCCATCTGTCGAATCATGGCAGAGTCGCAAATCCCAAGGCCTGGGTCCTGATTGATTAAACAAGAAACCCGCCAATAAGCAGAAAATAAAAGCCTACATCCTCAGCCTCATTCGGTCTGGGTCATCTGGTCGAGTCTCTGAAAATTCATCAATCAGTGGTAGCAGAATTGCCTTCTGGTCGTCCATAACCATGGCCCTAGCCTATGGCCGGCTGAACTGGAATAGATTCTCAAACGACCGCATATACCCAGTTCTGACCTCATGTCTAACCAAAGGGGCATTGGGATCGCACCCTATAATCTCGCAGAATTCTTCAAAGAGAGGACACATTTCCTCCATCATGGCACCGAATCGCGCAAAACGGGGCTTCCGGGTCCCAAAGTCTGATTCAGGCCCATAGAAAATCCCAGTCAATTACCACTCCCCTAAGGGTAACGATAGGAGAAAGACCGTACCTCCTTAAAATGATCTTTTCGACTTTGGAGAGACTCTTAGTCCAGCTGTGCATGCTGTGGTTATAAAAAGGGTTTATTTTTGAAAAAAAAAGAAGAAAGAGGAAAAGAGAAGAAACTGGCTGAAAACTGTTTTTCTGGCACGAATTTTGAGAAAGAATGAGGGAGACTGGAAAAAACAGGGTTTTTATAGAAAAGTGCGCCCTTGATGCTGGTTTCTCCTGCTGCTTGCCATGCTGCTTCTCTTGCTGTTTCTCGTAAGATTTTTCTACATTTTCTCAAGCATTTTTGGTTAAAATGTGGGGAATAGTAATATTTCCCTAAAAAAAAAATTTTTTTTCACAAAATAATTTCTTCTTCAAATAATTTTCTCAAAAAAAAAATTCACATTTGCCCCGTAAGGCCAAAATGTTCAACATTTCTGCGCCCCTAAGGCCCAAAAATTTCCAATTTGGCCCCAAAGGCCCAAAAATGCCCAAATTTGACCACAAAGGCCCAAATTCACATTTTGGCCCCTAAGGCCCAAAAATCCCAATTATAGAGGCCCAAAAATTCACATTTTGGCCCCTAAGGCCCAAAAATTCACACTTTGGCCCCTAAGGCCCAAAAATTCACATTTTGGCCTCTAAGCGCCAAACCGTACCTCCCCAAATTGATCTTTTCTACCTTGGAGAGACTCTTAGTCCAATTGTGCATGCTAATAAAACAGTAAGTGCAGAAACATAAAAAAAAAAATTCACATTTTGGCCCCTAACGCCCAAAAATTCCCAATGTGGCCCCAAAGGCCTAAAAATTCACATTTTGGCCCCTAAGGCCCAGAAGTTCACATTTTGGACCCTAAGGCCCAAAAAATTCTCAATTTGGCCCCAAAGGCCTAGAAATACCCATTTTGACCCCTAAGGCCCAAAAAATTCTCAATTTGGCCCCAAAGGCCTAAAAAAAAAATTTGTGTTTCAAACAACCACCGACTCCCATAAATCATTTTTATGGTTGCCGGTGGGGGGCAACTGTGAATACCCAAATTGAGGCTCAAAAGCATGTTTTTCCGGACTGCAAACAGTCCGGCCGGACCAAGATGACCATTCAGAAAGTCATTCAGAAAGTTCACCGAAAGTATGCCAATATGGTACTTGAAACGTCCGAAAAATTACGAGGATCGCAGAACTGGTCCCGGAATATATTTTGGAGGTACGAAACTCCCGAAAAAGCCTTTGGAATGAAAAACCACGGCGGTAGCTACTGCCCTCCGACCTATTTTTTCCTATAAATACTGCCCCGATTCGACAGTTTGAGAGACTCTGTCTGTGTTGACGGACGCTCTTTCTCCCCTACGCTCCTTGTGGTTCTTTTACTGCTTTTCTGCATTTAGCTTAGGCTTTTATTCTTCCGTTGTTGTGATATTTGGTCACTTAAGTGAATTAATTCTAATTAATATTCCCCAAACGAGGAGCTTAATCTGGAATTTTCAAGCTGAAGCTAAGAAGCGGCCGCGATTAACTCAGGTAAGAACGAAACTCTGCCCATTTATTTCAGCATTTTGTGCATATTCTCTTCTTACCTTCTAATGACATTAAACTGCTGCAAAATTCATTCACACATCAATTCGGCAAATTAAAAACTGCCTTGCAATTAAATATGATAAGCTTAAATGGCCCGGTTAATTAATAATCTTTGGTGTAAGAGCCTAAATCCGGACAATATTGGCTAAAGACCTGGTCAATTAATGATATGGGTATGATCGCCTTTATTTTCGAACAGTCCGCTAAAAGTCAATTAAAAATAATTGTGGCTAAAAGCCTTAAAATCAATCACGTTTTGGCCAACAAATTGGCCTTACATTAATCAACCATTTTGGCAACAAATTGCCTACGTTTTAATTAATTTTTGGCAACAATTCCTATAAGATAAGATTAACCATTAGCGACAAATCGCTTAAATCGAAGCTTGGCAAAATGCCTTGAATTAATCAATATTTTGGCTATTAAAGCCTTAAATCAATCATTTTTGGCGACAATCGCCTAATCAACACTTTTGGCCAAAACAAATTGCCTAAATAATTTTCTTGGCTAAAAAGCCTTAAATCAAACACTTTTGGCAAACAAAACGCCTAATCAAATCAATCAATTCTAATTTTCAGGCAAAATGCCTAAACAAAATGCACAAAGCATACACACACCCATGCATTAAGCATACCCATTCAAAGCCCGTTTAAAAAGGCCTATCGAACTACGTCGACTTTGATCTTCCATTCAAACGGAAGTACGTAGGCATGTTTGGCATTTTAACCCCGAGCGGCAAGTCAAAATCATTCAAACATTTCAATTGGTCCAATTACATCAATCACCTTGCAAAGCATTCATTCATAGGTTAGTTCATCAGCATAACATGGTCTCGGGATCCAACTCGGGTTTGCACACCATCCCTTAGACATTGGGATAATTAATCTAGTAATTAGGTTAATTGAAATCGGAGTCAACTTAGGGTTTTTTCCTAGTTTACCCTAAAATATTAGTTTTTAGGTTAATTAAAATTGGAGTCAATTTAGGGTTTTTTCCTAGTTTACCCTAAAATAATTAAACAAGGTGGTGACTCACACATTCACGTGTACTTCTGCCCTTAGTCATATTCATTATATGCCAATATTTGGGGAAGAGGTTCACACTACTGAATCGCAACGGCCGTGAAATTATGCGGTTGATCGTTGAAGTTGAAGGATAATGTGTAAGAGGTATGAGCAATTTTGTTTTTCTGGCTGTGTTGATGGTTCTACTCAAAATCTAAACAAATATCTGTTTCTTCTTCTTTTTTTTGTACTGGTTTACAATAATCCTTCAATAGACTAATGAACATAGCAGGAAAGGTTAAAAATGGGAATTTCAGTTGAAATTAGGGAGTGATAATAACATGTACTCATGCTAATTGCTATCTTGGGATACTAAGAATGAGATGAAAAAGTTCTAATTCTATTATTAATAAAATACTCGCAAACAAATCAAATATAAAGAAATACTTTGGTCAACTATTAGCCATGAGAAAGGCAACTTGTTGTAATGCGCAACAGGATGAAATGGTTGAAATTTTTCATTAATGCTGTTAGGGAGGTGCTCGAGCCTTCAATTCGACAATTAGTGCTCTCTTAATTCGTTCATATACACATCCTTCACCTTTTGTAATTCTCTGATTACATCTACCATTTTCATCCTCTCTGTTGGTTGTTCCATGGAGCAATAAACTCCAATTCTCAATACCGAGACCAAGCAATCTACCGGAGTTCCTCTTCCATCTTCTATTAAAATGCGTGGATCTACAATTTCCATCACTTTATATGGCAAAGATCTTTCAACAAAAACATGAAGATTTACTTCATTTGTAAAAGAATTATCAGTGGGTTTCTTTCCTGTAAACATCTCCAATAACATAATTCCATAGCTATATATGTCTCCTTCTACGGACACCATGTCGCTCATGCCGTACTCTGCAAATAGAATATGCAGTAATTAACTAGTCTTGCTATGTTGGAACAAAACAAAGCATATACGTAATCACATTTCATTTATCTTTCAACATATAAAAATATGTTTAAATGACATATGAATGTGAATTGTGATCGGAGTTTTAGATCTAGAAGGCCAACGGAGAGAAATTTCCACTTTTTTCCGAGAATGATAAACTAGGAGAAGATGTTTACCTGGAGCAACATAGCCTATTGTTCCTTTGATTGCTAGAGAACTACTTTGATGCTGATGTTGCTGAGACCCAACAGAAATTGTAGAAACAATCTTTGCTAAGCCAAAGTCTCCAACATAGGCTGTCATCTCATCATCTAGAAGAACATTACTTGGCTTTAGCTCTCCATGTATGATTGTCGATGGGCAACCATTATGAAGGTACTCGAGTGCAGAAGCAATGTCAATAGCAATATTTAGCCTATGCATTAGCTTCAAACTTATTGATTCTATTTGTCTCCCATCTTCCATTACATGGCTAGCGTACAACCATTTCTCCAAGCTCCCATTTGACATGAATTCATAAACTAGAGCTTTGAAATCATTCCCTTTAAAGTCAATGCTAGAACAGGCACTGAGTAACTTCATGAGATTCCTATGCCTGATGGTTCTAAGAGCTTCACATTCACGCAGAAAACTATTTGATGCTCCTTTCCGATGCAGGTTCAACACTTTTACTGCTACTTCTTTTGCTGTTTGATCAAGAATTCCTTTATAGACAGAACTATAGCCACCGGTGCCTACTATATTGGACTCAGAAAATCCATCAGTGGCTTTGAAGAGTTCTGCATAGGAAAGTCTCAAAAACTGGTGATTAAATGATGGCATGGAGATGCCTTTACTTCTAGAAGTTCTTTTCCTATACCAGAAAATTAAGAAGGATGTCAACACAAGCAAAAATAATGCAACACTGAAGACTGAGATTAATATTTTCTGAGCAGGGGAGAGTGTATTCTTTGTGGATTTTGAGGAAGGGCAAGGAGGAAGCTTCAATTCTTTGATTCCTCCACAAAGATTGTTTCCTAACAATGAAATTTCACTTGCATTTAAGAAAAGTCCCTGTTTTGGTACTTCTCCTTCAAGCCTATTAAATGACAGATTCAAAAGGCTCAACCCATCAAGCCCAGCTAAAGAATCTGGAATTTTACCTGAGAAGTTATTGCCTGAAATATCCAGCTCTCTTAAACCATGCAAAAAACTCAAAGCTTGAGGTATCTCTCCTTCAAATGAATTATCCGATAGATAAAGCCCTTCCAATTTCGAACATTCACCAATGGTTTTTGGAATTATACCAGAAAATCTATTGTTAGATAAATCCAATGAGACTAGATTTTGAAGCAATCCAATTTCTGATGGAATGACACCAGTAAGTTCATTTTGAGATAAATATAGTCCAACTGAAAGGGAAGAAAGGCCAATAACTTCTTTGGGTATTGAACCATTAAGATTATTCCGACCAAGATCCAACTCGATCAAGCTACGACAATTGCCGAGATTTGGAGGTATGCTTCCATGAAAGTTGTTGGCTCTCATGTAAAGAATAGTCAGGAAAGTTAAGTTACCAAATGAAGATGGGATAGTTCCAGTGAAATTGTTGCTAGACAAAGTCAAATATTGCAAGTACGGAAATCTGCCAAAATCAATAGGAATACGACCTGAGAGATAATTCCAACCCAGCTGCAAAAATCTCAAATTAACGAGGTTTTCAAGACCTAAGGGGATGCCATTTTGCAACTGATTTTCTGACAGACCAAGAAACCACATGTCTTTGGAGAGATTGGCTATGGATTTGGGAATAGACCCATTGAAAAAGTTCCTCTCAACATGGATTTGTTGTAAACCAGAACAATTAGTTAGAGAATCAATGAAACTCAAGTCATCTTGTAACTGATTTTCTGAGAAGAAAGCCATCAAAAGACGTGGCAACTTCCCTAGATCTTTTGGAATTGAACCAGTAAAATGATTTGAAGAAAAAGCAAATCTTTCAAGAGTGGAAGCATTTGATAATGTAACAGGAATTGACCCAGTAAACTTATTATATGCTAGTGCAAGAGAAGATAACTTGGGAAGAGTAAGGCCTATATCAGAGGGAATGCCTCCTTGTAGCTGGTTATAAATGAAGTTAAATATTTCAATGCTTGAGATGTTAAAAAGGCCATAAGGAATCTCACCAATCAGATTATTTTCTCCAAATAACACATCCTTTAGTTTCACAAGTTGCGAAAGCTCCTCCGGAATCTGTCCGTGCAAGTTATTTGTTCTTATAGATATTTGGTAAAGAGATGAGAGATTCCCAATTGAAGGAGGAATAGTTCCTGTCAGATTATTACGTCCCAAGCCTAGTGCTCCAAGTTTTGGCAAAGATCCCAACTCAGCAGGTATGTTTCCAGTAAGCTTATTGTCGATGAGGTCAAGGTATAAAAGTTCAGAGCAACTGGACAAGTTTGCTGGTATATTCCCACCAAATGAATTGTTGGCAAGTATTAGATATCGCAGGCGACGAAGACGACCAATTTCTTGTGGAATTCGGCCATTGAAGCTATTGTTTTGGAAATCAATGACATTCAGAAAGGAGAGATTTCCAATATGAGGCGACAGAGGTCCTGTTAGGCCTCGTGAGTTGAAGATTAAGGCTGTGACCCTGTCAGGATGTCGGCGACTGCACGAAACACCACGCCATTGACAGTAGTGCAGAGAATCATTCCAAGAACTCAAGGCATGAAAAGGGTCTTTGTCGGATGAAGAGAAAAAGTAGGGATCAGAATCATAGTTCATCATTTCCCTGTCCACTAAACTGTACACACAGTAAAAGTAAAAATCATGTTAGGTGGAACTTTAGGAGTAATTAGAGCCGTAATTAGTGGATAGTTAGAAGCAGTTTGTATATTAAAACAATGTAATCGTAATTAGTGGATAGTTAGAAGAAACAGTTTGTATATTAAAACAAAATGTAATCTTTACAGAAAATAATAACAATTTTCCCTCTGTGAAACATGGTATCAGAGCTGGTGTTTTTCAGCAGGAACTGACGTGAACCACATTTAGCTCATCGACCTACCTTCTGACTTACCGTAAATAACCAAATAATCATCATGTCTGATGATAGTGTTCATACCTCGGGTCTCAACGACGAAGACCTGACAAGAATTGCAAACCTGGATTAATAAATACCCAAAACCAGAAACAAACCATTTCAGATAACCTCACCATCAATGTCAAATTAAATAGCCAAAATTATGCAATATGGTCACGTATGATGAAAGTAGCTATTGGGGGAAAATCAAAAAAATTATTAAACCACATCACTGAAGCTGCTACACCTCCATCCGCTGGAGATCCAGTTTTTGAAAAGTGGGAACAAGAAGATTTGATTGTGTTCTCATGGTTAATTCAGAACATGGAACCACAACTAGCAAACAACTTAACAGAGTATTCCAAAGCTAAAGATTTGTGGAATGCTCTTGTTATCACATATAGCAGTGGGAAAGATAAATTACAGATATTTGATCTACATACCAGAGCAAACAGCATGAAACAGGGATCATCAACACTAGAAGAATTCTGGCTCACCATGCAAGGAATATGGGGGGAGGGAGATCGATTGCAGGGAGCCTAATCCGATGACATGCTCAACAGATATCGCGACATACAACAAAGTCAAACAAGAACAAAAACTATTTCAATTCTTAAATGGAATAGATCACCTGTACGATCAGATCAAAAGGGAAATCCTCAGATCGGAGCATCTTCCCTCAGCTGAAGCCGCCTAGCATCTTCCCTCAGCTGAAGCCGCCTACGCCTCTGCTCGGAAAGAAGCCGCCCGATTGAACATCATGGGACCAGCTAACAGAGAATCGCCATCACAGGGCATAGGCGACGGATTTGTCATCATCGGGAAGAAAGAAGCAAGCGAAGCAACTGGTGTAGGACTCGTCGCGCGTGGCCAGCGGCGGTCAGAACCAAGAAACGATGGTTCATCATCCCGTCCAGATAAATCGAGACTCAAGTGCTCTCATTGTGGGATGAGCAAACACACAAAAGATCAATGCTTCGAATTAATTGGGTATCCAGAATGGTGGAACGAGAATCACCGAAACAAGGGCACAAAGACCAGCAAAGCAGCCGCCGCCGTGGGTAACTGAGAGGCTGCCAGCAGCGGTGGCAACAGCAGAGGAGGTCAGAGTGAGAGAGGAGCGATGGGGATGGTGGCAGCACAAAATGAAAGGGCAGAGAATGGGGTCATTTAACATAAAACCCCAATTTTTATTTCCTTTATTTTCTAACCAAAGAAAATATGAGTTATTACAGAAATGCCCCAAATCTTTTGAAAATAATAATAAACAGACAAGAAAAGATAATCGCTGGATTTTTGACTGTTGTGCTATTGATACAATGACTTTTGAGGTGGCTGACATAATAGCACCATCAAAACCAAAAAGAACACATGTCCAAACTGCAAATGGAAGCACTGCAACCGTAGAAGGAGCAGGATCTGTTGAAATTTCACCGACATTAAAAATATCAAATTGTCTTTATGTTCCTGTGAATACCCAAATTTTGAGGCTCAGAAAGCCTATTTTCTCGGACTGCAAACAGTCCGGCCGGACCGGAGGCTATTTCGGAAGTTCACCATCCTACCTTTTGTATTTTACAGGATATCAGGAGCGGGAAGATTATTGGACGTGGCACTGAGCATCATGGATTGTATTATGTGGATGAAGTGGCCCAACACGGTACTGTAATGCTGGCTCACGGAACTACTGAACGGGAAGCTTGGCTTTGGCACCGACGACTGGGACATCCATCCATAGGTTATTTAAGTCTGTTATATTTAAGTCAAATAATATGTTTAAGTTTGAGACGTGTGTTTTGGCGCAAAAGTCATAGAACAAATTTTACAACCGAGTAATACCCATCATGGAGTCTCCTTTTTTCTTTGGTTCATTCTGATTTGTGCGGGTCCAGCTCCTGTCTTTAGAGGTCAGGGTTTAGATATTTTTTACTCTTTGTTGATGACTGCACTCGTTATTGACATGGGTGTATTTTTTGAAAAATAAATTTGAAGTTGTTGATAAAATTATTCTGTTTTACTATGATCCAAACATCAGTTCAATCAATCAATTAGATTTTACGATCTGATTAATGGGTGGGTTGAATACATACAATGAATTCCATGAAAATCCATGAAGCAATTTTCTCACCAAAAAGGACTTGTCCATCAAACAACTTGTCCTCACACACCCGAACAAAATGGTGTGGCAGAAAGGAAAAATCGCATTCTTCTTGAAATGACTCGTGCCATGTTAATTGAGTCTGGTGTCCCTAGATTTTTTTGGCCTGAAGCTATTGCCACAGCAGTCTATCTTTTAAACAGGCTTCCCACTAAAGTTTTAAAACTTCAGACACCAATACAAATGCTTGCTCAATTTGCCTCAATTCCCTCAACTCTTACAATTCAACCTCGAATATTTGGGTGTTCTGTTTTTGTTCATATACCCAAAGTTGACCGAACAAAATTTGATCCTTGTGCTATTAAATGTGTGTTTGTGGGATATGGGGTCAATCAGAAGGGTTATAGATGTTACGATCCAAAAACCCGTCGAGTATTTACTACCATAAATTGTGACTTCCTTGAAACTGAGTATTACACTATTTAATACCCATTCCCAGTTGGGTCAGGGGGAGAGAGAAACTTTAAAGACTCACACTAGTTGGTTTCCAAGTCAGGACAACGTTCCGATCAGAACCAAGTTAACAGTACCACCGGGGCATCTGAAGCATTTTACAGCTCTTCGGAACTCAATACCACTGAAAGAAAGTCTTCCTCCTTCCTGATACCTGAGGTAAGAGATTCCTTGATGTCCAGAACTCCTTGTTAATTGAACTGCTACCTGGTGATAATTTGGAGACCTGCTGCTAGAACAGGAAGAGAATGTTGGAACAGTATGTCCTACCACCCAGGGAAGTAAAACAGAGGAGTTTCCACCTAAAAAGATATTCTCCAGGAAAAAGAAGCACGAAGGAACGAAAATATCCAGTGACAAATTGTGTCAAGGGGGGCGTTATCAAAAAGGGCGTCAGGGGGAGCTTATCAGAAAGGGCCAGAGCCTTCACTATAGCTCTATATTCAGAAGAAGTTCCTCATACTATAGAGCTTGCCTTAAAATCAAAAAATTGAAATCAGGCAATGAAGACGGAGATGGATGCTCTAATTAAAAATGACACATGGGAAAAATGTCAATTACCAGATGGAAAGAAATCAGTGGGTTGTCGTTGGGTCTTCACGATCAAACACAAACTGGATGGGACTGTTGAAAGGTATAAAGCTCGGTTAGTAGCAAAAGGATATACACAGACATATGGTATAGACTATTCAGAAACCTTCTCTCCAGTAGCTAAAATTGATACGATCAGAGTATTATTCTCGATAGCAGCTAATAAAGGATGGCCACTCCATCAATTCGATGTAAAAAATGCCTTTTTGCACGGAGATCTAAGAGAAGAAGTTTATATGGAAGCACCACCAGGGTTCACAAATGGATTTAAAACTGGAGAAGTCTGTCGTTTGAAGAAGTCACTTTATGGTCTTAAACAGTCTCCAAGACTTAAACAGTCTCCAAGAGCTTGGTTTGGACGATTTACAATTGTAATGAAGAAATATGATTTTAAACAAAGTAATTCAGATCATACATTATTCCTTAAGCAAAGGGGTAATCTTATTACTTGTTTAATTATCTACGTTGATGATATGATTATTACAGGAAATGATGATGAAGAAATGTCAAAGCTGAGAAGGAACTTATTCACTGAATTCGAAATGAAAGACTTAGGAGCACTGAAGTACTTCCTTGGAATTGAAGTATTGAGATCAACAAGTGGAATTTTTATATGTAAAGAGTATACTCATGGATTTTCTTGGCAGAAATAGGAATGGTTTGACTGCAAATCCAGCTGGAACGGGCCCCCTATTTGCCCAACAATATGGCTTCAGATAGTAGAAGGGAGCAGAATCGGTTTGATAAAGAAAGTATCAACGTACTAGTTGGAAATTAATTATCTTTCACACCACTCGACCAGACATAAGCATATGCAGTTGAGTAGTAAGTCAGTTCATGACAGGACCTCAAATGATCAATGAATGAGTTGTTAAGAATCATCCAGTACTTAAAGGGCACGCCTATCAAGGAATTCTGTTTAACGGAATGGGCACTTGGATAATACAAGGTTATACTGATCAGACTGGGCAGGTAGTTCATTTGTTTGATCGCAGATCTACTTCAGGCTACTTCACGTTTGTTTGCGGAAAACTTAGTCACATGGAGAGTAGAAAACAGGAAATTTTGTAGCATTGTCTAGTGCCAGAGGCAGAGTTTCGAGGAATAGCTCGTGGTCTAGCTGAAATTCTTTGGCTAAGGGAAATTGTTAAGTGAGATTGGTTTTCCTTCCATCTGGAGCAAGAAGTAAAATTATGTGTGATAATAGAGCTGCAATCAGCATTTCAGAAAATCCTGTTCAACATGATAGGACCAAGCATGTTGAAATTGATAGACACTTCATCAAAGAAAAACTAGAAGCAGGAATTGTGGAATTGCCGTTTGTTCGATCTGAAGATCAGTTGGCAGATATTTTGACAAAAGCAGTTAATGGAAATTCCTTTCATAACGTATTAAACAAGTTAAGTATTGGAGATCCCACTACTCAACTTGAGGGGGAGTGTCGGATGAAGAGAAAAAGTAGGGATCAGAATCATAGTTCATCATTTCTCTGTCCACTAACCTGTACACACAGTAAAAGTCAGAATCATAGTTCATCATTTCCCTGTCCACTAAACTGTACACACAGTAAAAGTAAAAATCATGTTAGGTGGAACTTTAGGAGTAATTAGAGCCGTAA